CCCCAAAACCCCAAAACCCCAAAACCCCAAAACCCCAAAACCCCAAAACCCCATACAGTTACAAATGACTGATAAAGGGAATTATAACTGTAATTCGAAATGAAATTTTCGAGCAAAGTCCACCTAGATTCTCGGAAAAGATACGCAAGCTTGTACGACTACCATGGTGAGTCTTTCTAGTGGTACTTCAATGTTGAGTCCATGAATTTTAGAATTCTAGAAAAATTCATGTAGAATGGTCCAGAATGAATCCTAATTCACGATTAAGCTATTAAAAGATGGAATAAATGCCCAGAAAAGAAGATTTAGGTAATTTTTTATGTAGAATATGTACAATTTTAGACTCCATAGGTCTTATGGAGCTTCTGCTTTGATTCCAACTTACTCAACATGAGCAGGAAGGACAATGTCATGGGACTCCCAGTCTCCGTCAAGGTGGATATCAACCAAAAGATTGTCTTCAACATATGATCCTCTGTAATTTGTGAAGCATTTGTAGTGAGTATCAACTTCGTTCTCAAGAACTGGGAGATTGATACTTTCAGCTAAAGATGCTTCCATTTTGAATCCGGCATCTGGGTTAGTTCCATCTTCAAGATGGTGAACTCCAATGTTAGTATGAGAAGCATCAATTCCAGCTCCAGCCCAGTATCCTCCGTTATAGTATTGAGATCCGAATAAGAGAGTGTGCAAGTGAGTGTTTGAGGTACATTCGTGGATGGCACACATAAAGGTCATTCCAAATCCTTTAGCTCCATCAGAAAGAGAGAAGGAACTGTCACTCTCAAAGCAAATGGTTGTAGCAGTCTCAAGAAGAGATAAGTTAGAATCGAGATCCATTCTGACTCTGATTCTTCTGTATCCTTCTTCAGTTGCCTTATCGATTATTCTGAATCTTTCTCCGAGATCATTTCTAACTTTGAATGGAAGAGTCTCAGCAGCAAGCACTGTTGATAATAAAAGTACGGCTAGAATAATAAACTTATTCATTTGATTTAATTTAATTAATTATCTTTCTACCTCTCTTCTTTTATACGGGGTTTTGGGGTTTTGGGGTTTTGGGGTTTTGGGGTTTTGGGGTTTTGGGG